GAAAGGTAAGAGGGTGAAAAATTGTCATTCTTCGGTCAAACATCAAGCGTGTACTTTTGGTAAATAACCGTAATAGCTGCTAGAAAATAGGACAAATAAAGAAGTAAAGTGACATATCCTTTGCATTCAAGGAGTTCCCCCCAAGTCATTGTGAAGGGCTTTAAAATTCCAAGGTTCTCCAGGATAAGGCTCCTAAACTTCCTCCTGCGATGCACTCCCACCCCTTAAATCGAGTCCTTGTCCCCATTTCAGCTTGGCCTCTCTGTGCTCACCAGGGCCCACAGGCCTGAAAGTTGAAGGGAATATACTTAACTTTCCTTCAAACTCCCTTGGTGTGGCACGTCAGGATTTCTCAATGTTAAGCATTAATGCAAAATGCATTATCGCTTAGCCCTGAGGGTTCTGGTCCTGCCAGTGCCAAGGATGCTAATCGGGAGACTGAAGCTGCTGTGTTTCATGGGATACTCACACTTTTAAGACATCAATAATGCCTACCCCGTGCTTATTGAATGTTTCTTCAACTCACCCTCTTCCATTATCAAAAGGGACTGGTAGGGTGGGCCATTTTCTCGTGTCACAGTGTCTGGGGACTGAAAGGGCATTGGAGAGTTCATCAGGCCTGTCTGGAGGCAGGGACAGTCCCAGGTTCAAGGGGAGAAGTCTCCTCTGTGATGTGTCCCAAAAAGAGAGATTTATATCCAATCCAGCCTTAAACTTCAAGCTGTTAGAATGTTCTCCTTTATTGCAAACACCCCAAGTGCCCTAAAGGGAGACCACCTTACATTCTCTTCTTGGGTTTCTGTGTACACAGAATGTATGCCATAATTTTTTTTAGCCTGGGATTCTTTTATTACTATGTCACACTATATACTTTTCAGTATTTTTTAATATCTACTAAAATGTGCTTTTCAATGGTTATCTTCTTTTTCTTTTTGTCTTTAAGTACAGATCTCCTATCATCTTGGATTGGGGAGTTGGATCTTATAAATGCCTTGTTTTTCAAATATATGCAGGTGTTTGGCTTTATGTACTAATCTATGTGTTGTCATTATCCCTTCAGTCCTCCTAGTTCTAATATGTTTTTAGATTAGAAACCTTCTAGAGATCACTTATATTCCAAGTCACCCTTCCCAGAAGTACACAGAAGAAAAGTTGATAAATACTTTTTGATGATGATGTATTTTCATACTAGTACTACTTTATTTTTCCTGGAGAGTATATAATGTAAGTGTGATTCTGCCTCTTAAAACAAGGCCAGTGGGTCGATCACTCAGCGATATGTAGGCATATGTCCAAGAAGGGCTATCTTACTTACTCTTGGAAAGGATATTCATGCTCTCTTCCTTTGGCAGTTGCAGAACTTTTATAAGCATCAACTTTAACCCACCCTGCTAAATATCCCATGCTAGGAAACAAAAGGGACAATCCGCGCATCCCAAACAGTGGGGTGACTTTCTCATTTTTCTGATTCATTGTAGGTTGGTTGTTTAGTTGACTAATTTCTTCCCCTGCCGCAGTTGTTCCTTGCATCCTGACAAGAGAGAAAACGCTCGGTCATTATACTGCTCCTCTTACAAAAACAGATAAAACTAATATGTGTTTAGGGACGATCATTCTGATGAGTCGATGAATCTTGGCTCTGACACACAACATTATAAACCAGATCTCCACTGGAAATAAGAAAAAAGTGCTGTCTCAGCCTCAGAAAGCACTACGCATTTTTGAAAGAGTGTTTTACTAACTACCCAAAACTTTCCACCTGGGACTCAAAGTTGGCAAGAACCAAAACATCAGCTTCCTCCTCCCCGCCCCCCATTTTGCAGCTTTCATTTCTCAGCATGTATTGTTGTTTCACCTGCCTTGAAACAAGTAAGGAATGTGAGTACTTTGATAAATGGTCTGAAAGATATCTATCGATAGGTCCTCTCAGGAAATTTCTTTAAGAACTTCAGGATTTGTCTACAAAATACAATTTGGTGAACTCCTCCACCAAGGTGCACAGCTAAAGAAAGCCAGTTTGATGAGAGGGGTATAGCCTGTTTTCAAAGGTCCTTTCAGGAGGAATAAGTTAGCAAAGGAATTCATGATACACATACACATGCAGTGACTCCTCCGTGAAGTCAAGGAAGGTTGAAGGAGATGCTGAAGACCGTTTGTGAATGGGAACACAGCGTCTGGATTGGCATGGTCCTTCTTAAAGTTTGCACTGACACCATTCTTGGCAGCTGTGATTTGGAAAAAAATGAGAAGAGTCTCAGCATAAGGCATTTTTTTAAAGCCAGTTTTCAAAATTTCAAAATGATGGGACTGCTTTTATAATGTTTCTCAATGATAATATTATGTGTCTCCATACTAAAAGCGTTTCAGAGCACTGATCTGTATACACCACTGTGTGTTTTCGGACAGTCGTCCTGGGCTTCAGCTGAGTCATGCCCATGTATGAGAGGTGATGCTTTTCACAAATGCCACATAGATGAAGTGATGAACAAAAGAAACCAATCTCATACGCCAACACTTCTTTTTTTTCTCTCTGTAGGGTGCTTTCATTCTCTGTGGGCTGATTTACTTCCTGTTAGGATGGCATTAAACAATTCAGACATGCATGTTGTTTTATGTAAACCCTTGTAGATTTCTACTGGACAATAGGAAAGATCTGACAAATGTCAAAGGTTTCCGAGGGTAAAATGCCTAGAATCTATCTTAGCTTAGTTTTGAGCCTGGATTTTTGGGTCATGATGGAGGCGTTAAGAAATGGAAAGACGAGGCTTACGAAAGAGTTTTGGGTGTCGGGTCTGGATTGAATGTTGAGAGTGAAATACCAGTGGGACGTCCGGGGAGAGCGCGTGGCCCTCAGGGCGAAACACAGAACCAGAGCTCTGGGGAGACAGGGAAAGCCTGTTGCTATAATGAGATCATTGAGAGTTGAGCCTTGGTAAGCTAATAAAAGCAAGTGTTTAAAGAGGCTGGAAGACCCCAACTTGCAGAACAGAAGCTATTTCAAGAGCTCTGAGAGGAAGATGGATCTGTCAGGTCAAGGAAAGAAAGATCTCAACAGTTTAGAAGGGCAGCTCAGGAACTCGGACGGGGAGGGTGGCAAAGCCTGGTGAGTGCAGGAAGATGAGGGCGGAGGAAGAGTTCCTGGAGCCGGCGTTTACAGCATTTAGGAGCACAGTACAGGCGGAACTGTGTCGCGATACATACACAGCTTGGACTGACGTGAATCAATGCCAGAACTTTCTGTGTTGGGCACATTATATCCCTAAACTCACTCATCTTGATGGTAACACTTTCAGGTAGATAGGATTTTATCCCCATCTCACGGATGAGGCTTGTGGTGCCTCTCCTTCAAGATAGGTACTATTACCGTCTATTTACAGGTGAGGAAACTAAGTCACAGGGGTCTGGACTGCTTGCTGGGTCCCATGGGACAAATCAGTACCAGAATTGGCACATGAGCCCAGCCAGTCTCGCCCGAGCATCTTTGTTCTTCTTGACATCTTCACCAGCCTACGGTGAGGATGCAAATGAGATCGTGTAAGCTTTCATTTAAGATGTTTAGTGGGAGGAAACCTAAAAGGAGCTGGGCTCAGAATGGGCGCCATAGTCTTGGAGATTCAAAGGGAAATGGCGATCGCAGGAGCAGGAACGAGGGGAAGCAGGAGGTTACAGCGTGGCGGGGGCTCGTGAAACCAGAGACCACTGAACTTGGCCTGAGGGACACACGTGCTTGCGGACTAGCTTGCTGGCTTGCTGTCTTCCTTGGTCGTCAGCTAAAACTGTGCTGCCAAGGGCAGCAGAGAGGGTTCGGTACCCAGAGTGGCCTTGGGAGCCGCCGGAAGGAAGACATGGCAGCACCAGGGGCAGAGGGCAGAGAGCCAGGGGTGCCAACGCAAACAGTGGCTGTGGTCTTTGCTCTTTTAATTTTTAGAATTACCTCTTGGGGAGGGAGACTAGGGCAACGCGCATGTTAAAATGTATGTATGGATGATTCAAGCTGTCACCTGTATTGGCACGTTAAAACAACGGCATTCTCCAGGCTATTGAAGGCTCACTCCATAAAAGGATACCATGAGTGGGGTTATTTTTATGTAAGAATGATGACAGTCTTTGTGGTTAGAATTGAAGACAGCTCTGGAAACTTCTGCAGTGAAAAACACTGGTGGACGAATTATATTTTTGATACTTCTTTAATGCCCAGCATTAACTAAATAGTTTCTGCCTTGATTACGAAGACCAATAAACAAAATGAGTTTTCATTTCTGTGGGTACTTGTAATTGCTGAACAAATCGTATGTATCTACCGCCAAGCCAGGTTAATTCAGCACTTTTCATGTGCAATACTTCTGTTGAGGGCAGGTGTCTTAATTAAATTAACTAATAATTTTTGAGAGTAGAAGTACAAAAGCATAATTATCTAATTTGCTAATTGTTCAACTATGTTGATTTGCATTTTTGTTAGCTACAACATAAACAGTTTGCATATGTGTGTCCTACCGTTAAAATAATGAAGCCAGTCTTGGGAGCGTATTTCCTAAAGTGTGTTAATAGACGCTGCATACAAAGGACTCTCGTTACATAAGATTGAAAGATGCTGGGTTAAAGACAGTGAGAGAGGTTTGTTTCTGTGGGAGGCCCAGGGCCCTCGAATGGGACAGCATGCACCTTCAAGATCAGACATGCTGGGCTCTGCTTCCTGAACTCTGGACGCGCTCCCCCAGCCAGCATGTTACCGGGGAAGCATCCCAGGGCGCTCATGTTTTGAGAAACACATTTGGCGAATGCGGTTTGGGGCTGTCTTAACAATAAGTTGGTCTCACATTTGTTTTACTAGTTACTCCCTTCTGCAGTGAGCACGCAGGCAGGAACATGAATTAAAGAGGCATATGTTTTTGTTTCTCTCTCTCTCTCTCTCACACACACACACCCATAGCCCCCCCATGATAGTCTTTATAGCAGCTTACAGGGAACATGCAAACCTCCTCTCTCCCCTCCGCTTCCAGGCGTGTTGACAGGCCTGCGCCCCTTCACAGCCTACGCGGTAACCCTGACTGCTTGCACCCTGGCTGGCTGTGTGGAGAGCTCGCAGGCGTTGAACATCTCTACTCCACAAGAAGGTAAAGTAATTTCAAAGGTCTTGACTTCCACATTTCAGTCATGAATAATAAAATAGGAGAAGAGCTAAATGCTGCAAGGCCATTTGCTGGAAAACCCCAACCTAATTTGATGACAAAGTGCATCGCCAGGCCATAATTGCTCCATTTTTGGGGGGTGTGCGAAAATGAATCAAACTCCATACCCTTTAATGACATGCATCTTTAATAGCTGTAATGCAGATTGATGGGCTTTTTAATTGCTGTTACATTGTTCATGCAAGAGCCTTGTCATTAATATGAAGCATCTGAAAGATTAATGAAAGCTTCCTCATTTTACTATGGCTCAGAAGTAAATCTAGAGACAGTCTGACTAAAAAGAATTGATTGTATGGCTCCGTATGAAATTGAGAACCAAACGGTTGATTTCCATGGTCTCCTTTAACTGCTAAACACCAGCACGGACAACAATTGCTTCAGTATGATGGAGCCTCCGGCTGCCAGCCGAGGCCATGTTAACCACCGCTCGGTTCCTGCCGACTTCCATCTCACTTTTGTCGTGCGTGGAACTTACGCACTGTTAGTGTGTAACGCTTCAGAATGCATATGCTAAGAAGCCAGTGAGAAAGGGAACATGTTTTAGCACTCCAAAGTGAAAGCTTTGCCCAAGCATCAGAACGCATCACTCCGAAGAGCAACAGCTCTCAAGACGTTGGAAGCCTTGTCACTTCCGATCTCTCCCAGGTGAGAGGGGGTGCGTGTCTCTTTTACTCTCTGGTTGTAGAGTTACTTAGGGGCCTGCACACTTCATCTTGACGGGAAAAGAGTGTCTCTCCTTTTCTCAGTAGCCACCCATCCCCTTTCTCCCTCTTCTTCTCAGCCCTTCTTTTTGGTCACTTAGCAGGGGCCGCTTGCATAGACGATGTGCAAGAGAAGGACGATGCCCATATTGGTGACACCGTGGCAGAATAAAGGAGTTTGTGATATCCTTCCTGTCTCCCTTTATTCTTTGTGCTTTGCGCCCAACCTCACCAGACCACCTCCCCTGAACTACACCCTTGGTGGCCATCCTCAGCGTGTGCGCAGTGTTCTCTCTGTCCAGTCTGCTGGGAAGAGCTGTTTTTCTTAGCGTGGCATTGCTTCTCCTGGGGCGCATGATCAGCACCCTTTGCAAGCACCGCGCCCGGCTTCAGGATGGGGCAGACTGTCTTCTCTCGCATGATTTCCTCTCTGTCCACTCCAGCCTCTGTCCAGGTTTTGCCTGGCACCCTTCAAATCTATGTCACAGCCATACGCCAGAAAGGTTTCTACTCGTCTGTTTCATCATGTCCTTTCCAGTATGTAAGGAATTCCCAAATTCTAGATTTTCTTTAAACTTACTGTCAATTTACCAAATGGTAGGTGTATTTAGGATCACCTTTTAAAAACTGTTCCTATGACTCCAATTCATGGACCAAGCCAAAAAAGGAATAGGCTCTTTAAAAAACAAACAAACAAAAAAGACTTGTACACAGCATAGTTTTTGTATATTTTTAATTATTTGCCTCTTTGTGGCTACTGCTATGGTTATGCATACTTTTTAAAATATCTCTTACACACTCACACCAGCACGGCCCATCTTAGATGAAAAGCTCCCGGAGGGTAGGCACTCTCTGTTTAATTCCCTTCAGCTGCCATAGCCCCCAAGTAGAGATTATGGGTTAATAACACTTTTGATGAGGGAACGCGTCAGTCAAGTGAACTGTGTCGGTCCTTCCCATCCATCATTGATGCAAATTCTCATAAATTCAGAACAGTTATTTAGTGCCATTCCTGAAGCAATTACTGACAAGCTGCCCGCGAACCAGGAACGTTTCCGTGCCTGGGATTTCAGGTTTACTCCATGATTTATTGGTTTGAGTCTGAAAAGTTTGAATTAGAAAAGTAAACCAAAATTAGACTCTATAAATCTTTCTTTTTCCCCCACAGCCCCACAAGAGGTTCAGCCACCAGTAGCCAAGTCCCTTCCCAATTCTTTATTTCTCTCCTGGAATCCACCCAAAAAACCGAATGGTGTTATAACGCAGTACTCTTTGTATATGGATGGGATGCTCGTCTATTCAGGCAGTGGAGAGAACCACACAGTCACAGGTAAGACTTCTGTACATACCAGTAAATAATTACAGTTTATATGAGAATATGTATATATAATATATAATTGAAAACTAGAGCGTGTGTGTGTGTGTATTTTGGATAGCAATAATGGATCGTTATCTGAGAACACGGTTTTAAAATTATGTGTTAATTATCTGTGTCTCCTGCTAAGCCAAAAAAGTTCCATGACTATTGTGGTTATATTACATTTCTGGGGAAGCCAAAGCTGAGAAAAAAAATGGGGAGGCGTGCCTGCTATATATATTTATTTATAAATATATTTATATTTATAAATAAATATATACGTATTTATATGTGTTAAATAAAATAGCATTTGTATAATATAACATTTGTATGTTCAGTATGGGGTTATATATTTCATAGTATTTTATACACTGTATTTGATTATGAGGTGAGACATCGTTGACCAAGTGTTGATTAAAAAAAAACAACTGAGTCCTAATGATACTAAATTCTCCACAAAAGGCCACCACCAGTTACAGTCAGAGGCAGGGTGAATTATTCGTGTATTCACTCCTTCCCACTAACACCAGGTACGAGGCTGTAGCAGGGACTGAGTGGGACATTGCCCCTCCCCTCTCTCTTGGGCCTTGTGATTTCAAGGGGACACACATGCACATGCTGGGGGACAGGGTTACAGCATTCATCCAACTGCACTCTCAGGATTTTCAGTTTTCTGAGAACCTTCGAAGGACAGAGCAGTTGCTTTTCTATTTTACTCATTATGGTTGGAGAGAATGCTGTAATGCTTATGCTATAAACTAGATATTGTCATTACCCCCATTTTACAAATGAAGAAATTGAGGCATCAGAATATTAAATAGCTCCATCAAGGTCACACAGCCTGTGAAGGGTGGACTTGGATTCCAACTCAACCGTTCGGGCTATGATGAAGCGGGTGCGGTCTTCAGCAGGTGTTATTTAACATCTCTGAGGCTTAGTTTCTGAGCCTGTAAAATGCAAATAACCACAATTTTCAAGATTTTCAAAGGACCTAGAGCTAGTATGTGTAAAACACCTAGAATGTTCTTAGCCCTTAGTAAAAAGAACGACAATCGTTATTGCCTGTTAAAAGCAGAGTATGTGAGAGAAACTAAAAGAACAGATTAATCATGCCCTGACACTATCTGAAGGCATTATTTTAACTAAAAACTGTAAACCAGAAATTACTTCAGAAGAAATGAAAACGTAGCATGGAATGAACTTTGTCCATGTATTGATAATTAAGACACAAGGCATGGCTTTCAGACCTGCATGTGCCGCCGTGCAGGTGGTCCGGCACGGAGGCTTCCCCTGAGAAGACTTCGCTGACGGCCCAGGCGGGAGTTGGGGGTGCCCCCGTGTGCGCACCACATGCCTTTGCGCCCGCCTCGTTTGGTTTGCATTGTCTTGAATAAGGCTGCTGTTTCCTTTTCCATTTTCCCTGCTACACCGTACGGGGCCTAAGGAGGCAGCCATATCTGCCTTGCTTATTTTTCCATCTCCAGGGCCCCTCGTGGAGTGAGTATAGAAGAAACAGTGTTGAGTAAATGAACAGATGAAGTCAGGTGACTGCTGGGAACAAAAAGACGCTAGCAAAGGGGAGTTGGCGGGAACAGTAGTACGGCGAGAAAGAAAAAGCAGTACAGTAGAGATGGCTAGAAAGGTAGCAACTAGACAAAAAGAAACTAAGATCCCTTCCCTGGGTAGATCCCAGTGCAAACCCAGTCCACAGGATAGTGGCACAGCTGATGGAAGACTCAAGCTGGGGGGCGCGAACATTTCCGAGATGCACAGAATGCCCTGAGGTGACGCTGTGCAAAGCCACAAAAAGAGCCATGGGGGGAAGAGCAGAGGCCAGAATTCACACTGATTTCCAATACTACATACAAAAGAACACTGATTCTGTATTTTGTTTACATCGTCAAAAGAATCACATGGTTGTGGTATCTGCAATGAAAGGTCATCGCTAATATTCTCATAGTGGATTAGAACAACAAAATGCCCCAAATACAGAGAGTGGAATATTTTCATAGTGTGCATAGCCATCTTCTCTAGATACAAAGGGAACAGGTCCTTTAGTGGTTTTCCTTCTTTTGTGGGTTTTTAGAAATTATATCTCCCTATCACTCAGCTTTCTTCTCTGTAGCCTTTTTGGCTTCTCACAGGCAAGTATATTTCTTACTGCTCTCATGTCCAGTTGGCGAAAGACACCAAGCAAGTTGGGACTGCAGTGTTGGTCACTATGGAGAGGAACTAGGCTGCAGACGTCATAGTGGGGTTCAAAGTTGTATGTGGTTGTTCTGACGTTACAGATAGTAAACCTGAGGCCAGGAGAGGTCCAGAAATTCTGATCAGGACCTAGAGGTACCGATTTAAACCTCGGTCTGTTTGGCCCCAAAGTGCATCCTTTTAATCTTGATACTTTCTCCTTATTGAACACATATTTTATTTTCCCCAAGAACAACTCTGGAAGGGAGACAGGAGGCTGATTACAGACCATGGAGCACCTCTATTAATGTTCTAGGGCCACTAAAACATAAAAAAAATCGCAGACGGGGTGGCTTCAACTACAGACACTTTTTTTCTCGCAGTTCTGGAGACAAGAAGTCTGAGATCGAGGTGTTGGCAGGTTAGGTTTCTCCTGAGGCCTCTCTCCTTGGCTTGCAGACAGCTGCCTTCTCACCATGTCCTCACATGGTCTTTCCTCTGGCACTGCTGGCGTGTTGTCTTCTTGTAAGGACACCAGTCCTATTGGATTAGGGCCCTACCCTTATGACCTCACTTAACCTTCATCATCTCTTTAAAAGCCCTACTTCTACACATGGTCACATTGGAGTTGAAGGCTTCAAAAATGTAGATTTGGGGGAATGCAAGTCAGTTATGCCTGAGAACGTAAGAATTCAGGCCCTGCGTGTCTTCCCAGCATCCTTTTCCACGGGAATCACAGGGGAGACAGAATAGGAAAGGGATGCTGCCTGACTCGGCCCGGAGAGAGCTGGTGCCGGAAGCGGCTCTGGCCATGGGGGATAGGCTTCAGCCTCTACAGGCCCTTTGAATCTGTGCCACGTCCTTCCAGTGGGCGTCGGTGGGGCTCTTGACACTCATGGCGTATCTTTGTGTCAGGATGTGCGTGACTACGATCTTCACGCCGAATGGTCTGTGGGTTGAACTTCTAGACGTGCGGGCTGGTGCTGTGGGCAACAGTGAGAGTTTGGGGGCCTCTAAAATGGACTTTGGCAGGGCTGAAGTGTCAATTCATAACTAGAAGACGCAGTCTATGAGATTAGCGGAAAAATAATATTTTTAATTACAAAAAGTAATAAATGCTTGTTGGAGATCATTGAAATCATACAGGTATTTAATACCTGTTCATCCTGCCATACCAATGGAAACTCTTAATATTAGATGTTCCTTCTAGTACTTTCTTGATTTTTAACAAAGTGAGCTATCATGTATAATTTTGAATAGTTGCATAGTCCCTTATTATGACTATACCCTGCATCATTTATCATTTTTCTAAAAATATTTTGATATATTGTTAATAATATCATATTCCATTTTATGAAAGTACATTAATGCATTAGATCACTTAAGTGATTCAAAAATTTCTAATTTATCTCTGTTAAATGTTATGATAAACATTGTTGTACATATATCTTTGCTAGATTCCTGAAAGAGCAACAGCTAAATCAAAGGTAGTGAACTTTTAAAGAATATGTAATACACAGTTTTGCATGTTTCCTAGAAAAGTTCATCAGGATCGAATGTTATATTCTCACATTTTTAATAATTTTACAAGTAAAATTTTATTTTTATTTGCATGTTTAACTACTAGTTACACTGAATACTTTTCTGAATGATTATTAGCCGTTTATATTTTACCTTAATTTATCTAATCATAGTCTTGATGAGCAAAAACTTAATGAAGGGAGGAATAATTTGTAAACTTCTTTAAGAGCTATATTTCTCACCCTGTTTTTCCTGGCTATGATCATTTGCACTGTTTGAAATTCTTTACCTTCTACACTATGAAAACTCCCTTGATAACTTGGCTTATGGTCCCCTCCTCAGTGTTCAAGGAGTTGACATTTTTTTCTTATTCTTACTTTATTTGTAGCTTCCTTTGCTGTTTTTTTTTTGTTTTTTGTTTTTTGTTGTGTAGAACCCCCCTTCTTCTGCTTTGTGTTGAAAGTGGCTCTTGCCACCATGGATCTGGGAAAAGGTAATTGCTGGTCCATTCAGAAGCCACTTGGCATCAAGGTGGTTTGAAGTTTTTTCTTCTTTCTCTTAAATATGAAGCATTAAAAGTCAAAGGCATTGCTGCACCTTGAGTTAGTACAACATATATTTAAAAATGCATACAGTTCAAATTTTCTGCCTCGCACAGGCCATAAGCTAGTAGCATGGTGGGTCAGCCGTGGCACTGAAAAATGAATCCGGTTAGAGAACCTCCCGAAGGCTGTTGATGTTCGCTATAATAAATAGCACACACTTTAAGTCAGACTTTTTCATTCTGTATTCAAAGGTAATGGATTTTTCGTAACCATAGTAACCTTGGTGTATTTCTGGATAAATACATGAGGTATATACATTCTAGTTTTATTTTTGAATATAAACTACCACATTATGTATTACTAATAATATGAAAAATAGGATGTAGGTTAGTATAATGACAGCTTAAACTAGTATGCATTTTTCTTCTGCAAAAAATAAATATTTATCAAAAGTATAGGTTCAATTAATTTTTCCCCCAGTTTTGTGGTATTCCGGTGGTGCCATTTATCTTTTTTTGCAAGATCTCCATTAATCTCTTATTTCTGTCCCATAACAGATTTTTAAGAATTTTGAAGTAAAAACAATTGCCTTAAAGCTTATGATTAAAAACATTATCGAAAGATTGAAGGACCTATATTGATATCGCTAGCAGAGCCACTTAAGATATATGTATACAGTATGTTCATAAATAGGTAGGGAAAAAAACCTTTTGTCTGTTC